TGATTGTTTTATATGATTTTTAAAAGTATTGTGAATATTAACAAAGAAATATTTGGTAACGCCATGGTGAAATTAGACTATTTAGATTTTATGCCCAAATAGTCTCATAAAGTAGAGCTGTGCATAAAGTTTCAGTTTAAAGGTAGCATATAGTAATTTTAAATGTATATGTATTCAATATGTCTTTAATATTTATAAAACAAATATTTTAAAAATTATAAAGGGAAACTAACAAAATAAAAATTATATTTGAACAGAAATCTTTCTTTTAAATTGATACAAAAAGTAGGACAAAATCTTCAAATTTTATACAGTTTGAAAACATCCAGATAAAATAAAAAAGCAAGGGAAGAACTGCAAAATATTTATACCACATTTAACCACCAAAATGATGTATCTAGGTATATATATATATCTTCAATATTAGAAAGGCAATCAACTCAATTGAAAAATAGACAAAAGTCTTGAAAAGTACTTTGACACAAGAGAAAACTTGCATAGTTTCACTTTAATAATTAGGGAAATTAGGAAATGCAGATTAAAATCATGGTATCCTTTTACGTTCATAGAATTATTGTATTATTAGAAAATAATACAATCATTGTATTATTAGAATCGTTGTATTATTAGAAAATTCAGAATTTTGTTAGAAATAATTGTTACAAAGAGTATGGGTCAATGAGAATTCTCTATTGCAAATGTAACTATAAATTTTAAAATCTGAAACTATTTAATGTTATCTTGTAACTTTGATTACTTACAAAAATAAATTTTGATTATTTTCATACCCTAACATCTACCCATTATACATTTGTGTTTAAATAACAGAGGATGTACACAGTGTTCTTCATAGCTGTATTATTTGTAATATCAAAATAAAGAAGAAAAGAAAAAGTCATATTTTCCCAAGGACCAAAGAATATCTACATTGGGCAGAATGTTATATGTTTAGTGCCTTAATAAAAGCACTAAAAGTAAATGAAGTACAAGCAAAAATGCATGTTAATCTCATAAATCTGGTGTGAGAAAAACCTGTTTCTTTAATTTATGTGCATCATAATACCATTGTGGTAAATTTTTAAAAAGTAACAAAAGTAAGCAATACATTAATTTGGAGGTGACCACTATGCCGACCAAATTCCTCCCTCTTGTGTTACTGTCCTTCCCCCACAACAGTGTCTGACAGATCCATGAAATGTCATAGGAAAGATTGAAGATAATCTGCCTTTAAAATAAATGATTGAATGGGAAAAGCAGGGGAACTGTAATGAGTGAGTGCTGCCAATATGTGCCATGCATTCCACAAGTATTACCTTGTTCTGCTTTACCTGCTTAGTATTTAGATGACCATGCTGTACCTTTCCTCTCAAAGAATTGAGAACTACTGAAAATGAAGATGTTTGCTTCTCCCATCTGCTTTTCTGGGGAGCAAATAAAAAGAATTTACCTGTGCGCAAAGCATGAAGCTAGAGTGTAGATGGTGAAATCTAGAGTAAAATCCAAGCTACTCCACAGTGTTTCCAGGTTTAAAATGAAGTTTAATCAGAGTGCTTTGTTTTTGGTTGTGGTTCAAATGATTTTAGTTATTGGACTGACAAGAAATTTAAAATAAAAAAGTTCTAAATCTGAAAAAAATGTATTATTTTTACATATGTTAATATATATGTGATAGTATTTAAAAAGCAGTGTGATGATTTTAAAAGATTTCAGGATAGTGCTAACTTCTTGTGGCAAAGACAGGAAGATGGAATCAAGAAAAACACATATAAAGATATAGTAATGTTCTTTGGTTGAGTAGTTTCAATACAATTATATTGTATATTTTAAATCTCTGTAATATTTCATTTAAATCATATATTACATTGTAAAAATAAAGTAAAATTAAAGTTTGATAGTTTTTAAAGTCTTATACCACATCCTGCACAATGTTTCACAAATAACTTTTTAAAAAATACATGTAAGTGTATGATTAAAATATATAAATACACAAAGTAATTTATAGCATCTTTATTTGTACCAACCCAAAATTGAAACTAATCCACATGTCCATTAATAGTCAGTGGATAAATCAAGTATATTCATATAAGGTACTATTAAGCAATAAAAATAAGTGATTTACAGATGTATATAACAATTATTATCCTCAACAAACATGATAAGTAAAAGGTGCATATACAAAAAGATAAATATTATTTTAATTCCACTTAATGAAAATTTGAATAAAAAGAATCTATATTAGCAGGAAGTAAGTCACTGGAAATCTACTGGATTGAAAGTATGTTGTATATTGGCATGATGTAACTTTTTGAAGTGGTGAAAGTGTTCTAAAACTAGCTGGGATTTAGTTAAGTGGACTAAGCACCTGTCTGGCAAGCACAAGATTATGAGAAAAAAAAAAAAGAAAGAAAATGTTCTAAAACTGATGATGATGTCATTTTGAGAGCTGTATAAATTTACAAGTAGCAAACTGTACGTTAACAATGGGTGAATGTTAGAGTTTATTTCACTGAATGTTACAGTGAACCACATTACTTTCTCTGTGAATGCCCTCTGCATAAAAAAAATCAGTTTGACCATATATATGTGGGTCTATTGGATTCTAATGATACTGTTTCATTAATATGTTTCCATCTATCACCAACAGCACAATAAGTATACGCTGACTTTCAGAGTGAAACTTAATGCTAGATAGTTTGAGTCTTCCAAACTTTAGTTTTTGTTTTTCAAAATTACTTTTATGATTACACTTTACTTTTCTCTGTATATTTTAGAGCCATTTTATTTCTACAAAAACTTTTGACATGTTTCAGTTGGAATTACATTGAATGTGTATACCATTTGAGGAAAACTAGCACCTACTATTGTACAATAATCATGAATGTATCATTTTCTTAACACATTTGTTATTTCTTTGACTTTATAGTTTTCACCATACAGATCTGAGTTAAAATCAAACTATTTTGTATTCGTTTTACTTTTTTATATGATGTTTTATAACTCAACTTTCAAGTGGTTTTACTGTTATATCAGAAACACAACTGAATTTTGTGTCTTGGTATTTTAACAACTATCTTCAATTCATATGAGTTCAAGTATCCCTTTTAATATTTGAAGCTTTCTGCATGTAAGTTTTCTATATCATGTGATCTGCAAATAGAAAAAATTATATTTCTTTTCAGCTTTTCCTTGTTGCTGTTATTTTGAGGCAAAGTCTTACCTTGTAGTTCAGGCTGGCCTTGAATTCACTATGTAGCCCAGCAATCTTCTTGCTTCAGCCTCACTAATACTGAGATAACAGCCTTCTTTTTTATTTTTTTTATTTTAAAAATAGTAAAATACAACAAAACAAGACAGAACAAAGCCCATCAAGACTTCACCATGCAGTGAAATTGGTATAGAACTTCAGAGCAGGATACTGGGAAAACAATAATAATTACCATAGTATATCTTGGGTTATCTTCACAATAGTTGTCCTTTCAATCAGGTATAGCAAAATCAAACCAAAAACAGAACACTATAAAACCAATCCAAACAGAATGTTGAATAGAGTAAAACAATTAATCAGAACAAAGCAAAACAGGGAAAACAATATTGGACTTCAAAGACAAGATAGAAGGGGCTGGGGATTTAGCTCAGAGGCGCCTTCCTTGCAAGTGTGTGGTCGTGAGTTCGATTCCTGGTACCGATAAAAAACCGAAAAAGACAAAAAAAAAAAAAAGACAAGATAGAAAGAAATCTCCCATATTTGCTATATTGCCTACTGTCAACCTCCCAAGAGATGCTCCGACCACTGGACCCCGGTCAGCATAATCAACCAAACAATACAAGCATTTAGTTGCTTTATGTATCTTAGTTGCTGTCAACTCAGACTGACCTGGAAACTATCTTGTTGCTAACAAGGGCTTGGTGGGGTTTGCGGAAGGGGGACAGAATGTTTCATTCTCAACGTGATGTAGCTGATAGGCTCATGAAAGAGGCTGACTTTTCTCTCCTCTGTCCTCCTGTGGCACACACCACTTAGCAGGAAGGCTGGATCATTGCTTTCCTGGGTAATCACCCCTACAGGTTTCTTTTCAGATGTATGATTTTTTTCTTTTCCTTTCTGTTGCAGTGATAAGCTCTAGTACTATGTGAGAGTAAATATTTTTTGCTTCATTTCTTATCTTATGGACAAAACATTTGATCTTTTACTATTGTTTATGTTAGGGGTTATCTGTAGATTGTTTCTACATGCCCCCTAAGAGACTGAAGTTTTCTCTGTTCTTAATTTAAAATGGATGGTAAATTTTTGTTACATGCATCTATCAAAATGATTGCACAGCTTTTCTTTGACACTATAGTGCATTTCAATATGGTGATTTCTTAAAAGTATTTAATTGATTTTGCATTTATAAGACAAAATCATCTAATTATGATTTATTACCACTTTGTTTTTATATCTTATCTGATGTGATTTGCTAACATTTTGTTGACAATTTTTATGCTTATGTTCATGATATTGGTGTTTAATTTTTATGTATTTTTTGATATCAAGATAATTAATTTCTTCAAATATGTTGGGAAATATCCTACCCTCTTCTATTTTGTAGATGAGCTTTTATAGGATTAATAGTAGCTTACTTATTTTAAAAACCCTTACTTTAGTGAAGCTTAAACATTTGAATTTATATTTTGATGTAAAATTATATCATCTTTTTCATTATATATACAGTTTTAAGGAATTTTGCTTATTTTCCATGGGCCACTTCACACTATAACACACTATAAAGTCTTACAATAAAATCTAAGAAACTGTTCTTTTTTATAATCTTCATATTTTGAGGTATTATTTAAGGAACAAGCTAGTGTTCTAAAGTTTTAAAAATATTTTATCATATATTCACATTTGAATGGTATTTTTGAATGAAAATTAAAAACATTCACTCAAATTTGTTTGCATTTGGAGTGATGGGTTTTTTGTTTGATGCACTTTAATTAATGCTAATCTGTTTTTCATTTAGTCATGCAGATGGATCAATAAAATTTTGGGATGCTTCTGCAAGTAAGTTTTAAGTTTGTCTCTAACCAAATTAATTCTTGGTTAATACTGAATCATGATCAGCTATTTTATTTTAATTCTGGCAATTAAAATTTCAGAAATATTTTTAGATAAATATATTTGCTATTACAAATTCCATATTCCATGGTGTTAATCCAGCTTAAAGTTCACCTTTTGTACTTCTATTCTATAATGTAGAACAAGTAAGACTAAGTCGTCCTGTCAGCAACCCATTTGACTTTGAAGGTGCAGTACGTCAGAGGTAGTACCTAACTTTGTCAAATTAACCCTGCTCAAAGAATTTTCTTTGCCTCCTAGCTGTGTAGTCTTCAACAAATGCTTTCCCTCTCTAGTCTTGACTTTCCTTTGTCACTCATCTACTAAGTCCTGTGAAGATCAAGAGAAGTTATTGGTAACAAAAAATTTTTATTAAATTTTAAAGAATTAGATAACCTATGGAATACATAAGATATTTTTCTCGTTTGAAAGAACTTAAATCTTCTTTATACCCATAAGTATTTTTCAGAAGATTTAGTAGTCACTGGAAAAGATAAACACACATCTGTCACTACCAGACAAACATGGTATGACTTAGAATATGATAAAAATTCTAAATATAGTACAACAAAAATGCTGTTCATTGTTAGAAATAGCTGATATTTATTTGGAATCAGGAAGGATACTTTAATAGTGTTAGTTTGAATATTGGAAGGTAGTCAAGGTTTTTGCAGGAGTATGAAGAGGACAAGTTAGCAACACCTCTAAATTCTGAAGATACATAACTGGTAAAATGAAGTGAACTCATTTGAAAACAAGGAATACTAGAGAGCTTTTGAGTTTTGAACTTTATAGTAATACCAGAAGTTTGAAATAGAAATGTTCAGCAAGTTAGCTAAAACAATCAGGAATAAAGATTGAAGAAACAACACAAAAGTGATATTTGAAGCTGTAGTAGTAAATATTTTCTTAGGAAGACTATAATAAATAGAAAAACAGAAGAAAGAAAAGGCTCCTGATGATACTCTTCTGATACAGTTAGAGTCCCTCACTAATCAAGAAAATCTTCAACATCAGGAAAAAATTAAAGGATTTAAAGGCTTATAGCCGAAGGCCCCCTTTTGACCCGTATATTAGTAATGATTCCTTTGCTGGGACAAAAATTATATAATTTAAAGGAGAAAAGGTCGTTCTGGCATGTTTTCAGTTTTGCTCCAGAGTGGCTAGCTCCGTTGTAGGAGAGGAAAGCACTTCAACTCATAGCAGCTAGGAAGCAGCCAATGGGAAAGAGTGGAAGGGGTTGGGAACAAGATACACCCTTCAAAAAGACTCACATCTCAGTGACTTCCTTCTGCTGGGTCCTGCTTCCTAGTAACTCATGCAGTGATGAGCATATCAATGGGTTAATTCACTGGTGAAGTGAATGCCCTCAGGAATTGGTGATATCTGAACACATGAGCTTTTGGGGGGAAATTTCAGCTCAAATCATATCAGGCCTCCCATATTAAAGAGTAAATGATTAAGGAGAAACCAAGAAAAATAACAGATTTTCTTCTGATGAATCTTTTCATGCAAATATGAACTTGTTTCTAGAACAAAATTAATGCATCCTGATATCATTGCTCCTTTTTCACCAGCTGAGAGTCACTCCTTCCTTCTAAAATATGAGAGAATACTTAAAAATTTTAATTATTAGAGTGTACAAAACTCCTTAGAATATATAACAGTGTCTTAAGAAGCTAATTATTAAATGAAATATTGTTTTACCACATTCACAGTACAAATTATGAAAGACTGACCTGGGCTTAACATTTTTACTTTAATTGATTATGAGGATACAGTATAATGAAATACCAGTTTGCTAATTTTGAGTCACAATGCCTAAGAAGGTGAATTTGAAAAATTGAATTTGTATTATGTATCAGTTTCCTATTGCTGAGTAATAGATTATCATAATCTAACAATTTGAAACAAAATCTATTTATTGCCTTACAGTTTCTAAGTGTTAGGAGTCTGATTACTTCTTAACTGAATCCTTTGCTCAGAGTCTCATTAGACTGTATAGTCAAGGTATTGACTAAGTTGACAGTTTTATTTAAGACTCAAGGTTCTCTTTCAAGCTCTTATGTAGTTGCCTACAGACTTAATTTGTGTGTGTGTGTGTGTCTTTTTTTATTTTTATCGGTACCGGGGATCGAACTCACGACTGCCTGCTTGCAAGGCAGGTGCTTATGCCACTGAGCTAAATCCCCAGCCCCTACAGTCTTAATTTTCTTACATCTCTAGAACCTATGGTGGTTTACTGCTTCAAGGTACCTATCTGCCTTGAGGGAGGGCTCTGATCTCTCTTTTTAAGACCTCGCTTGATTAGTGCAGGCCTATTAAGGATAATCTGTATATTGATTAATTGAAAGTCACCTAATTAAGGACCTTAGTTATTTATGAAATATCCTTTTTTCATTGCTTTGTAACATGCAAGGATATCCCATCTGACCTCAGAAGTCTAGCTATTGCACCTAATACAACATCTTACCTCTTTAAGAGCTATTTTATTTTGACATAATTTCAGACTTACAGAAAAAAAAGAGGAAAAACGAAAAGATACTGTGAAATGTATCACTTTCAACCAGATTCTCCAAGTTTCAGTATGTACTACATTTATTCCTTTCCTTTTTCCCCTCCCCTCTCTCCTTCCTAGTCTCTCCTCTCCTTTCTCTGTCTCCTCTCACCTCTTTCCTTCACCCACCTAACAAACTTCCTTTCCTTTGGTCGTCTCTTTCTCCCCCTCATCTCTCCTTCCACCTTCTTATGATCTCTCACACCATTGTACACACATACACACAAAATATTTACATATAGACATACTTTTTTAAGGCATTTGAGAAATAAGTTATAGACACAGACATAATGTTTCTCTAATACTTAATATCCTTAAATGCTTCAGTATATATACAAGCAAGGACATTCCTTTACACAACCTAAACATAGTTACCAAAACCAAGAGATTATTAATAAAAACTGTTTTCTAATCTCCACATCTTATTCAGCTTTTTCCAATTGTCTCAGTAATATTTTTGTTAACAAAAGAAAATTTAGGGTGATTATTGTATTTAGTCACTATTATCCTGTAACTTTTTAAGATTCTAGAACAATTCTGAATGTTTCATGTATTGACATTTTGGGGGAATGTTCAGGCCAGTTATTTTGTAGAATTACCTTCAGTTTTAGGTTTCATTAATGCTTATTCATAGAGGAGTTGTTTTGTAGGAGAGATAATAAAATCACAGCCTCAAAAGGAAAAAACATCCCCGGTAAATATTCTTGAAAGCAGTTCACAAATTTAGTTTTATACGACTTGTATCTTTTCTTCACATAACCAATAAGAATAGAACTTTCTTAAAAGAATTATAGATTCTTGGACTCCTGATACTGCTAGCTGGTAAATTACAATAATTCTTATCCAAAGCAGCATCTTAACAGTTTTTTTTGTGTGAAGTGTTAACCTGAGAATAGTGTCACACTCCTATTTAGCAGTCAAAGAGGTAAATTTTGAAAAGAGGCTGAGAGATCTCCCCTAGGATAGAGTCATTTTATATTTTTATTGTATATTTTCTGAGCCTAGTGTTTTCACCTATAAACAAGAACAAAAATACATCATAGGACTTTTCTCAGGATCACATGATAAAATAAATATATATTCCTCAGCATACGTTTATTTTTTTTTCTTGCGAGTCTTCAACTTTATATTATACTGAAATAAGAGCACAATATTAAGTGAGTACTGGTTCCATGTAATTTTTGGTCTAATAAATAATTGGAAAAGTTTTAACAACACGTAAATATTAGTTCAAACTAGAAGATAACTCTTTCAATGTCTCATAGTAACTCTGCAGATGCTGTACAAGCTAAAAACTTCAAAAGTCTTTGAAAAACAGAAGGTGGGAGAAGGCAAACAGTCATGTGAAATTGTTGAGGAAGATCCATTTGCTGTTCAGATGATTTATTGGTGTCCAGAGAGTAGAATATTTTGTGTATCAGGAGTTTCTGCATATGTCATTATTTATAAATTCAGCAGATATGAAATTACAACAGAAATAGTGGTAAGTTATTTAAAATTTAATTTTTATACTTATAGATAGTAAAGAAATCAATTATATATTTGGGCTACTAGCTGGTATGGTTTTAAAACAACAAAAGTACACTTTGTAGCCAGTGATAATATTTCATAGGATTTTAAATTCTTACTGAATTCTTATTATAACTTAATATTTACATTAAAAATGGTTTGGCTTAACATCACAAGGACAATTGTCTATCAAAACTTAGATTTTCTCTCAGTATCAAAATAAGCTTATTTTTAAGTTAATCTTGCTAAAAATCAACGTTTTTTAAATTTCTCTTTGGTATATGAAGATTTTTCTATCACTTTGATGTTGCAGCTGTGTGGCCAAAATGAATCAATTTATTCTGAATACTATTTGCCAATATTAGAATTTTAGCATTTATAATTATTTATTTTATTGCAAATAAAATTATAGAACATAATATATTTTGAAATATTTATACATTATATACCTGTATTGGGCTGGGGATTATCTCGGTGGCATAAGCACCTGCCTGGCAAGTATGAGGTCTTGAATTCAATCCCCAGCACCATACACATACATACAAAAGAATATAATACCTATATTTACATATATATAATGTACCAATTGTATATAATTATTGATTCCTTATATGTGTAAAAGTAACATTAGTGCAGGCTTTGTTCTATACTTATTTTTTGTTAAGTTTAACAATTCTTGTTTTCAAGTCAACTAACTGTTTTAAGTGATTCTCAACTGCAATAAGGTTATTTTTAATTACTATTATAGCAATGTAGATAATTCTACTTATTCCTATTATCAAAAGATAAAGATTTATTTCTTGTGTATTTTTACCTTAACAACTAAAGTTAACATCCTTTTATAGTTTATTAGAACTCCAAGCTTTGAAGTCAGTTATAACAAGATTTTAATTCTCCCTTTACCGTTGAATGCCAGTGTGACTATCAGCAACTCAAGTGGCTGCTAGTTAATAGTAGAGTACAGATACGATTCACTTTTATCACCTATGTAATTTTGTGTAAATAAAATGGAAAATAAAAGTAAACTGGAAATACTAATATCAATTTCATTGATTATTTTATAGATTAAAGACATTATAATATGATGCTTAAGTATGCTAAATTTTCAAGAATTGATAACGGTTGCCACTAGACTTTTTAATGTAATTATGGCATTCATCTTGATAATATGGCTACAGTCAGTGTTCTTTATTATCATTTTTGTAAGCAGTTATTTTCAATTCCAAAATGTACATTTTACATTGTAGAGCAAATATTTTTTAAAAATCAACTTTAATTAAAGCATTCAGTGTACCTATTGAATTAAGCATGATTTTGAAATATGTTTAGTTTCAGAAAGTCTTGGGGATCACCTTATTTCTATATAAATTATCATAGAATTTTATTCATTAAGTAGTTTTAATCAAGGTCATAAAATTAAACATGTAAAATTAATGACACAAAACATGGAACTTTTTTGGAAAAGTTTTCTAAATTATAGCAAAGCCAGAATTCAGAGAGGTTTTTTAAACTGAAAGGCTTTGTACAAATAATACAAATACATACATACATTGTCATTTCTTTCATTGAATTAGTAATGACCAATTTTTTAAAAACAACTTTTGCTATTTTATCATATATCAAAACTTTATGTTTACTGGTAAGTATTTTCTTATAATTGTGAAGAATTAAAAATTTGTCTTTTCTGGTTGCCATTGGGTATTCTTTATAATTAACAGTTTAATTCAGGTGACATACTTCTCAACATTAATATAAGTTCAAATTGAATTTACTAATCAGAAAAAATTGTGAATAATTACTAAAAAATTATCAGATATATTAATATAAGTATTCATTTTTATGATGTAGATTAAATTAAAATTTGATTTTTTAAGTCATTAGAGGTACGACTTCAATATGATGTTGAAGATATTATTACCCCTGAACCAGAAACAAGTCCTCCGTTTCCAGATCTCTCATCCCAGCTTCCTTCTTCAAGGAGTCTTTCCGGGAGCACTAATACTGTGGCTAGTGAAGGAGTAACAAAGGACAGTATCCCATGCCTGAAGTAAGAGTTGCTACTGAATTTTTTTTTTATCTTTTTCCTTTTTATCGGTAAGAGTTGCTACTGAATTTTTAAAAATCTTATATATTAATCTTATAATCTTGGACATTATGACAAAATCACTCTTCTACGTTGTGTCAAGTGATTTACTTGTGTAGACCAGTATTCTGGTAATTTATTTGAATACACACAAAAAAACACAATATTCTCATCTTTCATTTATTTATTTATTTATTTACTTCTTTTCCAGAAAGATCCAAAAGAAAACATGGATTTGATAAAATGAAAATTTTGACAGAGCAAAAACTTGGCCACTTTCTTGGTATTTTCCAATTGAAAAAGTACATTGAACTATCTTAGAATCAAAAACAAAACCAAGCTTACTCTGTATTACAAGTATATTTTATTAGAAAAAATAATTTTTTTTCATGATTACTAATATCTGTTTTTATTTAATATTTATTTTTTTCTTTTTTCTAACTTTCCATTTGTAAATAGTGTTCACTCAGTGTATCTAAGCAAAGTTTAGCAACATCACTTAATAAAATCTGAAATTAATAAAGCCATTCTAATATTTATCTGAATTGTTTTATATGATTTGTATCACAGGGTGTAAATCATTGCTTACTGCTTCTGCATTAACAAAACAAATGTGTCCAGCATGGACTTGATGGAGAATTAAGCAAGAAATTTCTCTGAATCACATTTGAAAATATCTACACTCGTTACTTGAAATATAAACAGCTAATTTCCTCATTTCTTATGTAAACATGAAAATTTTAGAAATATGATTTCAGGAACAAAGTATGACTGGGTCGTGCACAGTTGTAATTCTAACACTTGCAAGGCTGAGGCAGAGATATCCTCCCAGATTTGAGGCCAGCTTGAGCTACATAGTGCGCTCAAGGCCAAAGTGAACTGTGTATCAAGATAATGATTCAAAACACAACCAACCTACAAACATTTCAGGAACAAAATCTGTATAATTAGTACTAATCTTTAAGTTTTGTCCCAAAACATTTTTTTGAAATTAAAAAAATATATAAACAAGTATTAATAGGGAAAAATCTACAAATGAGAAAATCACTATAAAATTTTTAGCTAATGTTATGATTTTTCACATTCAAAATTATCCTTCATATTAGTTTACTTTAATTGATTTGTATTAAAATGAAAAACAGAAACAGAACAAAAAGTTCAAGAAAGTCAAGAAACACCTGAAGATGTTTATTAGGAAAACCCAACAATAAAGCGTTAAGTCTTCTATATACCTAAAATTTTCTGTGTAAGTAAAGAAATTTAAGATAGGAATGACAGAAAAATCAGTGGAGGGAACAAATACTTGATAGTAGAGATGAAGTAACCAGTAATCATGAAGATTTTTAACCATAGGTTAAAAAACAGTATAATTCCATACTGTGTCGAGACTGAGCAGCAAACTGATTTAAGTAATATTCTGTGAATTGCTTGTGATTCTTGAGTTATGTATAACCCATACTACATTGCTACATTTATGTCATTATCATACCTAAATTACTTTCCTTTGCCGAATTTAGATTTCCACACGTTAACCAATAAATAAGGATTTCAACTAGGCAACATTAACTTTTAGCAATAATTCTTATCAATATATACATATATTTGTGTAACTATTTGAATTTTTGGGAGCCTTTGTGCCTCTGTGAATAAAAAATGAGTGGTCATAATAAGTCTCATTATGAGAATAAGACTTGAGGAATAATTTGAAAAAAGTGAAAGAATTAGCCAAATTAGCCAAAGACTATAGGTAGAGTAGTTTTAGAAAAAAAAAAAGAGCAAGAATTCCAGGATTGAAAATGTTGATCTCTTTAGATAGGTGACCATTCTTTTTATTGTTATGCTTTATAACTTACATATATTTAACACTATAAGAAAAAAGTAATAGCAAAATAAAAATAATCTAACTTACTGTCCTTAAGAGAAAAAAGTGATGAAGAAAAATTGAAATTATAGATGTACCTGAAAGAGTTACTTTAAAAAAATGGGTTGTTATATTTTGAGAAATTAGAGGACACTCGTCATCTGCATGTTGCACCAGTGCCTCACGTATTTCTGTATGATAATTCCCTGTAATTTACCAACGCAAACCAGATTAGGTAAAAGAGGCCCAATTTTAGCCCATCATAAAGCCAAAAGCATGAGTATGCGTTTTTAAACTGAGCATGATAGAAATATTTTTTTCCTTTTGTCTAGTGTTAAGACACGACCTGTGAGAATGCCTCCAGGATATCAAGCAGAACTTGTTATTCAGTTGGTGTGGGTAGATGGGGAACCTCCTCAACAGATTACCAGTCTTGCCGTAAGCTCAGCATATGGAATGTAAGTAATTAAATTTGCTTATTGAACCACTATTTTTAATATTTTACATACTTCTCAAAATAATTGAAGTCTTAAAAATTAGGAGGCTTTACTTGGATTTCTTGGTTGAAAATACTATGAGAAAAATGATAATTTAAACTTAAATTGTAGTTATGTGTACTGTTTTGATGTCAAATGTAGGACAGTGTTCCCGTATCTGATGTTATAGTGTTACTACATTTGTTCTTTTTTGTTTGATTTTGTATTTTCTAAGCCTTATTTTTTACTTTATTTTAGATATTTTCTTTTGCCTTGACATTTAAAGGTCATCGGTACTCTCCCCAATAGTCTAATCTGGTACTAAATCCACTGTGAAGTTTAATTTTTGTTATTTTCTTTTTAGTTCCAAATCTTCCATTTGGTTTTTAAAGTTTCTTGTTCTTTTTTATTTTTATATTATTACTTTTGTCCTTTTTTCTTAAAAGTTTTTAATATATTTACATTAAATAAATGGGCTACTGTAACAGAATAATTTAGAGTATATAGTTTATAAACAACAGAAATGTATTGCTCATATTTCTCAGGTATCCAAGATCAAGACATCAGCCAGTTTAGTGGCTAATAAGGGTTCACTCTATTCAAAGATGACATCTTCTGGCTGCATGATGATAGGACAGAAGAAGCAAACAAAAGATCTAAATCCTTTTTCATAGGGGCACTGATCTTATTCATGAAGGTGGAAACTTAATTACCTAATCACCTTCCAAGTATTGTACCTTTTGAAAGTATCATCTTGTGGCTCTGGTTTAAACATGAATTTCGAAAATATACAAAATTCAGACCATAATATACTGACCCTAGTTCCCTAAATTTGTGTCCTTTTCACAAGTGAGATATATTCATTCAATCTTAATAGCTCCAAAAGTCAACATTTTCTAACATCAACTCAAAAATTTAAAGCCCAAAGTTCACTTAAATTTTTTCTAAATCAGATATGTGAGACACAAGATATGATTCATACAAGGAAAATTCCTCTACAGTTGTGAGTATATGAACTCAAACAAGTTATGTACTTTCAACATACAGAGATAGGATAGATATTTCTATTCTAAAAGGGATAAGTAGAAAAAAAGGAGAATAGATCTTCAGTAACTATAAAACACAAGATGGAAATGTTAAATCTTAAGCCTGAATAATAATCTTTGACTCTGTTTTCTGCCTTTTATATAAATGGAGCAGGAACTGGACCCCAAGCCTTTGGGTAGATTTGTTGCCATAGTTTTATAGAATGGGGCACATACCATGCCATAGCTCTAATGGTTTGGTGTTTGATACCTGGAGCTCTCCCAAGTTAAAATTACATGTTAATGGATCTGTCATTTTGGGCTCTTCAAAATTCTGCTAGACATTGTTCTTTTGAGGGTTCTCTTGTGACCCTGCATGGCCAGTTCTCTGCCTAGGCCCCAAAACCCTCTAGGGCATCCTTTGAAATCTAGATAAAGGTACCATGCCCAAAGTTCATGGACTCTGTGAGCTAGTGGAGATAACACAGCATGGGCTCAGCCAGAGTTTACTGCTTGTGTACTTCAGAGAGGCAGCTACTTTACCTATTATTACACATCGGTCAGTGAAGCCACATATGCAATGGGTAAAGACCATTGTCCCAGAATATGGAGAGCAGAGATTTGAGGAAGCACAGGGGAATAAGTCCTTTAGTATTTGAGGGCATCCTATAACATAGGCTTGTTGTCTACACCTTGATACTCTGGGATAGTGATAGTAGTGGTAGACCCATTGATCTCCAAAGTACCTTTAGGGTCATTCTTTCATTATTTTCTGCTGATCTATACTAATCTCCATATCAAACCAAAGTAGTGATTGTCTCTCAAATACACTTTTTCCTTCTTTATAAAATGGTCAGTCTGAAAAATTTCCAAACTACTTAATTTCCAAACTATTTTCTCTGTTTACCTTTGGACTATTATTTCCATATTTAAATTGTTTTTTCAAATTTTACTATGAATAGCCAAGAAAAGTCATTCTGTACCTTCCATATTTTGCTTAGCTATTTCTTGTGTAAAATATACTTTTTCATTTCTCAGAAGTTCTGCTTTCTACAAAGAACAGGGACATAAAAGGTCAACCGAGTTCTTCCAGTTTCTAATAATATACTTCTCATTTCTATCTGAATTTTCACCAGAATGGCCTTTACTGTCCATATTTCTACTAAGATTCTTTTTATATCCTCTTAGATAATCACTAAGAATATTAAGGCCTTGTCTATATCCTCACTGTCTTCTGAGCCTTCATTAGAGTTTCTCTTAAGAGCTCATGAATCGTTAAAGTGCATCCATTTACCTATGAATGTCTGAAATTAATCTATTAATGGCAGAGTAGCACCCTGTTATACATAAGTAACATATTTTCTTCATCCACATATCTATTGCTGGGCATTATAGACTGTTTACAAGAATTAATTATTATAAATTGTGCTGCTATAAACATGGGAATACATGTATCTTTGTAGTGTGGTGGCTTTGCTTTTTGGAAACATGTGGGTAAAATGGAATTTCTAGTTTTAGTTTTTGAGGAATCTTCACACTGATTTCCATAGTGGTTGAATAAGTTTACAATCCTAAAACAATGAAGAAGAGTTTCTTCTCCACACATCCTGGCCAGCATGTATTATTAGATTTCTTGAAGAAAGCCAATTTTTTTGGAGTAAGATGGTACTGTATTTTATTGTTGTTTTAATTTACATTCTCTAATGACAAAAGATGCTGAACATTTTTTCAGGTATTTTTTGGCCATTTGTACTTCTTTTGAGAAGTGTCAATTTGTTTTGGCTGCCAGTTTTTTGATTGAGTCATTTATTTGGAGGAAAGTCTAATTTTTTTGTGTGTTCTTTACATATTCTTCATGTCAGGTCTCTTTTTGAAGAATATCTAGCAAATTTATCCCCATGCTATAAGTCTACTCTTAATTCTGTTGATTGTTTTCTTTGCTGTGCTGAAGCTTTTTAATTTGATATCAGTTATCAATAAAAAATGTAATACAAAAAAGTAGGAAAATTTGTTGGTATTTTGATTGGGATTGATTTAAATCTGTGTCATTTTTGAAATTATGCTTATTTTGCCAGTATTTGTTCTGCTTATCCAGAAACAGGGATGCCATTCCATTTTCTAATGTCTTCTTCAATTTCCCTTTTCAGAATATTATAGTTTCCATTGTAAAAGTCTTTTACATCCTTGGTTAGGTTAATTCCTAAGTATTTAATTTTTCTCAATTCTACTCCATATGCCAACAATTCTATTGTGAATGTTATTGCTTTGCTAATTTTTTCCTCTATGAATTTATTATTGGTGTACAGGAATGGTGTTGACTTTTGCTTGATTTGGTAACCTGCTGCTATACTGAATTTGGTTATTCTAGGAATCTTTTGGTGAAATTTTTCAATGTTCTATGCAAAGAACCATGTCATCTGCAAATAATGATAATTTGACTTCTTATATTTCTTTCTTTTACTTGATTGCTCTAGCTAATGCTTCAAGTACCATATTAAACAGGAGTGGCAATAGTGAATATCCTTCTCCTATGACTGATTTTAGAGAGAAAGCTTTCCATTTCCCCCCATATAATCTGATGTTGGCAGTAGGTTTGTTCAGATTTTTCAGATCAAGATAAATTCCTTTAATATCTATTTTCTTCAGGGTTTTTGTCATGAATGCATGTTGGATTTTGTCAAAGACTTTTCATCTTTTGAGATTGTAATAGTTGATTGATTGCGTCAATTTGAGCAAGAGAAGATGAACTAAATTGGCTCAGCAATTCTACATCCTAGGATTTTGAAGACCCATCTTAGGGCAGCTTATTTCCTGGATGGCATACAGGAGAAATGAAGATGGACAGATCTTTTTCTGTTGCTTCTGAGGAGCTCTATTCTTTACCCCTACCTTGGGCATCATCTGGCTTCTAGTGCAGTCTCTTCTGCTTTCAGGCTGTCTTACTCCCTTTTTTCTCATTGTTGGGACAAAATACCCAACAACCCAAAGTTAAAGGAGAAAAGGTTTATTTGGTTCACAGTGTGTGGAGGTTTCAGTCCATAATCAGTTGACTCCAAGGCAGGTGGCATGGCACAGGTATGACATTTTAAAGTGCTGGAAAACAGCAAAGCAACATGAGCACAAAAGGAAAAACAAGCCTCTTTTCCTGCCTTCTATTATAAGTAGTCTACCTGCCCTTGGGCAGGTATAGCAGTCTTACCATCTCCATTCCTTCCTCTTGTACCAGCTCAGGATTTTTACAAAGTGAGGACTCTGCATCCCTACTAAATCACTTTGTTAAACTTCTAAATTTCTCAAATTGACACAATGAGTGAACCATTACAGCATCATGGAGCACAAACAGCTGCCACAAGATATGTCCTCTAGCCTAGAATGTAGAACTACTGAGTTACTTAATTAAATATCTAAACTTCTCTAGACACAGTATCAACTGTTATAATCCACCTTTGCAAAGTTGACAACCAGACACATTTCTTTAAACCCAACAAAGACATGCTTTTTCTTATCATTTCAAAGCAAAATCATGCAAGTCCTAACAGTTTTAACATTGCTGAAAAGTACAAGTTCAAAGTCTCTTCTGAGTTGTATGGAAAACTTGTAGCTGAAAGCCCCCGTACAAATGAAAAGTTAAACACTTCCAATTTAATGGCACAAGATAAACATTTCCATTTAAACAGTTACAGGGGAATTAAAAGGGACTGGGATTGTTGTAGTCAGGAGTTGCAAAGAGAACAATTACATATAGAACACATCATTCATAGTATTATTTTATAATGGTCACCCAGAGTCACATACAGTAAGTGTAGGAGATCTGTCCACAGACTGAGACCCAAGGAATCCAGCTGAGGGCCTGGATCCCATAGCAATGTCCTACATGAGTCCCGCTAAAGCCTTAGGGCCCATGCAATGCCTTCCACAAGTCCAAATGGAGGCTTAGAGCCCATGACAATGACTCAA